CTACCAGCCACTCCCCTTCTAACACACCCCAGGATGCCATTGGCCTTCTTGGCCATGAGGGCACATTGCTGACTCATGGCCATCCTGCTGCCCACCAGAACCACCAGGTCCTTTCCCCTGCACTGCTCTCCAGCAGGTCAGTCCCCAACCTGCACTGGCACATGGGTTTGTTCTTTCCCAAGTGCAAAGTTCTGCACTTGTCCTTGCATAACTAAATGTGTGTGGTGATGCCCTTGCATACCTAAATGTGCACTACAATGACCAGTGGCTGTAACAGAACCTGTCAGTATTATCCAGATAAATTAAAACCAGGTTGTTTTTCACATCATACGCATTACCAGATACCTAACTATATGGGACAGAACACAGTTGGTACGAGAATGAGCTCTTGAGTTTCAGGGTGAAAAAACCTTAGAGTAGTATAATGAGAAAGAACATAACACTTTGCATAATAAATAACACATTGAACTATATGCAGATATGAGACAAGCATGCAAATATTTTCAGAGATACAGGAGAACACGTTAATACAGAACCCATGCCTTCAGGATGAGAACTAGGTGCTGAGTGGAAAACAACTCCCTGGCTGAACTTGGCAGCAAATGGGAGCACCCAAGACCAGAGTCCCAATTAAAAACCAAAAATAAAAAATACAAAAAAAAAAAACAGAAAAGAAAATTTACTGCTCCTACCTGATGAAACAAGGGAACACAGCCTGTCCCAATGAACTGTGCTCCTCCGCAGCGTGAAAACAACAGGCAGGAACCCCAGCAGCACAGGGAGAAAAACCAAACAGCTGAGAGCAACTCTCCCCGCACAGCAGGCACTAAAAAGAGCCCTTGGCCTCTTCTGAGGGTCCCTTTTATACTAAGCACCATGGGAAAAAAATGCCATGATTGGTCCATTTGAGTCACCTGACCCACCATCTCCACCCCACAGGCACAGCTGCCCCTCCTCCCCCCCTGTGATTGCCCCCTGGGTCGAGAGCCCCAGAGAACTTTTATGTGATGCTCTCAAACCAAGACAAAAGGGTAACTGAATCTGCCAGTATTTCCTAAAAGAAAATAAAGACTGTGTGCACGTTCAAAAAGTAAGGGCAGGTTGTTCATACACCCTGTAAAGTCCACCTTGACTGGTCCGCATATATAAAAAAGAGGTTGTAACACAAGTAGTAATAGATGGTTACCCCCTTCTAATTGGCAATTCAGTATTCTTCAGAGACTTTTATATTCTAATCCTGAGATGAAGATAAGAGTTGAATAAAAAAGAATTTTATAGATAACCAGTAGCTACCCATAAACCCTTACCAGACTCCTCACCAGTGGCCAACACCCACAGTATATTTTTTTGTTGAACATGATTCTTGTTGGACCAGGAATAAGAGCAAGATTCATGTTGATAAGCGAAGTGCCATATTCAATCAAATAAATGAATTATAAGAATACCCTTCAGGAGAGATCTTGAAAACTGCCCACAGCGAAAAAGGTAGATCTTGTAACATGAAAGTTTTCCAGGAAAATTATGTTTGTTATCTCAACTTTGTATGAATATTACTTTGTCCTGTTAGATGTGGAGAGGAGGGCTCAGTAAAGGTACAGTTTAGCCTGAATAAGGGTAGTGGTACATATACACAGGTCTGTTCTGTTTTAGAAATATAAACTGAATCTACAAATCAAACAGTACATGGGACAATTTATAAACATTCGCTTAAATGATGAGGAGGTTCAGTACTTAAGATGTTACTTCCATGTTACAAAGCATTTTAGGAACTTTAAAAATGTTACCTGTTTAATACTAATACATAGTATGAACAAACTGATAAATTAATAATCTTAACCATCTGCCACTATGGTCTAATACTAAGAGATAATTTTGGGAGAGGGGAATCAAAAATATTTGTTGCAACATAAACCCATTCTGTTTGAACAACTATACTGAATGGCTTCATTTTTTAATATTCATTCGAATTATAATTGTTAGTAATTAGAATAAGGGAATCTTTGCCATATTGTTTTTAAATTTAAATACTTTACTTAGCTTAAGTCATCTAGTTGAAGCTATTTTGGGTGTCTTTGTTCCAGTTTCTGTTTCTGAAACATTTCTGTGTCAGAGAGTGCCTGACTCATCAGTAGCCATGTGTGGCTTTTGGAGTTCTCAGTTTGTTCTTTTCTATAATTGAAAAGAATCTGCCTCTGAGGAATGACCTTTCTGGGGTGTCTGTGTATGAAGTGTTGGCCGGGATTGCCGACTTCTCCCTACATCCTGTACAGTACATGGAGTGAATCGCATGGCATCCTGAGCTGAAGTTTCCTCCTTTTCTAAAACATTATTCTTGGCTGCACTTCTGTAACGTTTGGCACCCGTAACTGCTTATTTTCAGATATTTATTTAAAAAAAAATTAACAGGATGAGAGACAGCTGCAGGTACTGGCAGTATACAAAATTCATAATTACTAAGAGTAACTGAGGCATATTATAATATAATTCAACCGGAAAAACAGCTGGCACATGCTATATTTGTCATATGAGAGTTTTGCAGAACGTACTTGGTACAGCTGGCGAATTTATGACCCGTCTGCCAGAATGCTAAAAGCTCACCTTTTGTTTCCTACTCACTTAACAAAGACAATGTGGAGAAGGGACAGATTGGATTATTCAGCAGTTGAGGTTACTGCTCAATTTTAATATTTAAATCTCATCCTGTGTATTTGGGGGAGGGTCAACAATCGGAATGAGTCAACTGCCTAGCTCAAGAGTTACCATGTTACCTTATGCTTACAAGGTTAAACTGTTTTATTTAAATAAAGAACTTATTGATATACAGCTGTATGTGAGCATATAAACTGGTCATGGCCTGTGCTGCTAAGAATGCTAATCCACACCTCAGTGCAAGTATAGGAGACAGATTGTTTTTCAGTAACTACTTATATTTAATTTAGAACATTAGTCTATTTGGATAGTCTTATAAGGTGATGCAGCAATAAAGATGGTCTGTACATATTTTATGATATGTACTGGGATTGGTTGAAGAGGTTTGTTGAGAACAAGGGAGTGGAACTACCAGCCGGTTCTACTCACAACTTGATATATGTAGTTAACAGATATATTACAACCTTGTATTTTAGCTACCATGTAACAGTTTTTAGTCAAACTTTATGAAATACTGAGTTTTTTCTCTAAAGTTACCAGAGTTCAGATATTTTATCATCATTCATCATCCCTGTTCATCAGTGCCTCATGATGGTAGAAGGCAGGAGCTGTTGCCTTTGAGCACCAACTCAAAGATGCTTGCCATAGCCCACATATTTTTTTGTCTTCATTACTATACAAATTCAGGAGCACTGAAATTCAGCTTATGAGTCGAAAGGCCGCTTTGAAGAAGGCAACATTTGCTTTTTCTTCGTGAAGCGTCACATTGCTCTCTGTCTCACAAGTACAGCATTACTTGGTTTTATGTACTTAAAAGCACTTTCAAAAATGTCCATGTTGAAGTCTGCTTATGGGGCACTAATCAGAACGTTAAAAATTGAATGCACTGTGCAAATGCAGCTTATATTTATAGCATATGTGATAATGTGCCTGCAAAATAAGATTTAAAAAAACAGGGAAAAAACCCAGCTGTAAAATATCAAATGCTCTTGACAAAGTCCCGCTGATTTGCACAAATATGTCTCATTCGTCTGCCTTTATAGTTCTGAGTACACATCGTGAAGTGCTACCTGTGTAATGCTTTAGAAATAGATGTTATAAGAGCAATTCCTGAAATTAAAAATACACCATCAGCCCCTTCGGTACAAGAATGTGCCTATGAAATTACATTCCAGTAACTGATGCACTACTGTGTGTTAATCAGCATCTTTTCTTCTGGTTAATAGAACCGAGGCGAGTCAACAAAAACTTCGTATTCAGGAGCTCCTTTCTCAGCTGGAAGTGGCAAATGAAAAGGTAACGGAGGTAAGATAAGAACTGATATGACAACTACTTTCAGTTACAACCTGATGCAAGCACACTAGGGTCTTAACAGAAACCTATTTAGATGGCTTACTTTGCTGGTTTAGAAAAAATTAAGGATTTTTAACGGCCATAGTCGTAAGTGGAAAACCCCACTATTACTGCTGACTGACATGGTCAAATGGCAGGAAGATGAACAAACTTTCATCTTAAATTACAGGAAAAGTGCAAGGAGACATAACCTGCCAAGGTTACTACTCTAGCACTTTTAGGCAATTCAGGAAATGTCTCTGAGGTCACTTCGGGCTGCGTGTGTATACACACCTCTGAAGGGGAGAAGGCACTGTTATGGATAAAGTAGCATACTCAGAGACACTAAATTCTCAGCATACTATGTGCATAGTACAATCTACCCTATGTGTGCATACATGCGTGTAGATAAAAGCATTATCCATTAGAGATTAAGGGCACGGTTGTTTTGGAATGTGCATTGTTCGATAATTAATGGCCACTTTAGAAAACGTCTATCCTGTCAGTGTCATAAACCTGGGATTATACCCAGTTCTGTCTAGGATAAGTCCTGGATTAAAATGTTGACTTCTATGCATCTTACTCCAAGATGGTGAAATGAGTAAAACTTCCTCTGCAGATTACTCTGGAAAAGTCAGGTTGTATTTGAGCTGGACATTCTCTGTAAGGTGTCAGCAGTACACCTTCAGTCTTATTGTAAGTGGTACACAGTTCTGCTGCTTAAGTTCCTCTTGTTTTAAGCTTTTCCACTACAGTAAGTATGGATCCAGTAAAAAAGAACTTTGATTTGTAATGAGATGTTTCATTTACACAGAATGAAAAGTTAGTGATGGAGTATCAAGAATACATCAATAGGCTTCAAAGGCGACTGAGCCAGGCAGAACAGAGGGCAGCTACAGCGTCTCAAAAGGTACAAAACTAGTAAGAGACACATTACTCGAGTGTGATTAAAACATTCCGTTGAATATTACAAAAATATTCACATTGTATCAGTCCTAAGACAGAGGTGGCCGTTCATGTGCATCATTACTAAATGTAATTTTAGCAAGAAGCTTTTATTTTAGCTGTGTCATCACAAAACTGAGGCATATTCAATTAAATGCCACATTTTGACAGGATGCTTAACTGACAGCGTAGATTTGTTTAGGGAAACAAATCTGACACAGATTAAACTTACTGTTTCAAAATATGTGAATGAATGCGTACAATCTTTTCTGTCCTCAGAAATAGCAGCAAGTTAACAACGAGGAAAAAAAAGCTCCTTAACTGCAGCTTCCATTTCCATACAGCAGGCTTTTTAGCTTTGCGTAACCCACTGCAGCAGTCAAACACAATGAGCTTATGCCCTGGGTTCACTTATTTGCCAAGCAAATTTGGTGCTTAAGTTGGTCTCCTGTTAAGTAAAGGCAGTCTTTCTGTCTCCTAATTTTTACTGTGATTTAGGAAACCCACTGGCAAATTACAGCTTTTGAATGTCGGCAGTCCCATGTGAGTTACAAAGAGGAAATGTTTGGTTCATCTAAATCGTCCAATTAGGACAAAGGGCATTTTTTTCCCCAGCAGCACTGAATACATGGGCATAGCTGCCAAGCTAGTGTAACGTAAGCTGTGCTTCCTGGCTGTAAACCCTCTCTCTCATGACAAGGTCTACCCAGCTGGTAAAGATTTGCTCTGAAAAAACAATTTATTTTTTTTCCCCCTCCTGTTGGTTGTATGGGTCTGTTCAGCTTTAATACTTCTGAGTTGCTGTCTTCCCTAAAAATACATGGTCACATCACCTTTCAAGGGACTACATTCCTGGCCTCAGTGCTCATATAGGAAAAGGTCTTGCTGTTCCTGAAAACAGTGATAATTAACTTCCATAGGTTGAGGGCTACTTTCTCATTTAACTTGTCTTCTCATTACATTATCCAGATTACTTGTGAAATTAAATCCAATGAGGCTAGAGTTGGACTGTTAGGGAGTCTAGAAATTACATTTTTATTGTGGTTAGTTCAATGACTATAAATCTTAGTTTAGTATTAAATAATAGTAATTTAATAAGCAACATAAAAAATGCAGAGTATCATTTTGCACCAGTTTAAAATGTGTGTATTCTCTGGAGGTGTCTTTCAAGTGTACTTCTGCTACTTAACCTTATATTATCTTGAATTCATTGGGACTGAAATAAGACAAAAGCGGGAGTCGTCTACAGAGGGCATTGTGATTTCTACCGATTACCTCAAATTGCCACTTCTCTGGGCTTGTTTACTCCCCTTCCTGATACTTTCCATATTGAAGTTCTTCTGATATTTTAAATCTTACCAAAAAAAAAGTCTTATATATGCTTGTTTTTAATTACAGCTCAGCCTGATAACTACGCAGAAGAAAAAAGCTGCTTCTCAGAAGGATCTGGAAAATATTTAAACCCTTGTAAAATATTTAAACACTTGTATTTTCTGTTCATACCATGTTGGCATTAAGAAGATTGCTGGAGAAACTTCATATTGGAGCATTAAAGTCAATTTCATAGCAAAGGTTGTAAAACTTAAAAATTTTTCTGGTAGATTCAGGTATGAGAGGGGGTGGACGAAGATAGTGTTATCTGTCTGCAGAGAAAAGATGGGGAGACAGCTGGCAACGTGTTGTAATCAAAGTCCTTTAATGTAGCAGATGAAACAATCTGATACAGTTCTGTGGCATATTGGCCCTTTTTGGTCTAAAAAACCACCAGTTCCAACTATGACAAGACTGTGTACAGGGGAACAGATAGATAACATTATACTGAAATCCATGAACAGCTTTGCTCACATACAGTCGATACCTTTAATTTTTTCTTTGTAGAGCAAAAACTTGGAAACATTTTGAAGATTCTATGAATTGTAGAAAGACACTAATTACATCACGAATGACAAATAATTGCTGTTTTTATGGCAGACATTATAGCTGTGGAATGGCTCCATTGCCTTTCAGTTTTAACAATTTGGTTCCAGTTGTTCTGATGCCTCTGTAAATAAACAGTAAATAAAATTATGCTTATGGCTATTCATACAGCTCATTTCTAAGGACTGCAATCTTTATTCAGTTGTGCTTTTTCTTCCTATATTATTATTTTACAATTGGTCCTTGCATTTCTGTTGATCTGCTCTCTTGGTTTGTAGGTGTCTGGGAACTTGTCGGTCAACTCTTACACGTTTTGAAATAGTGTGTTTGAATTCAACACGTCAGTACAGGGGAATCCTCTTGTGTACGTTTTTCTGATAGCTGAGAAACTTCCTACATGTCATTCTAAATTTAGAGCTGAACTCTCTTTTCTCCTTCAGCATGAACTATAAATATTTTAACAGGTGTTAACTGATTTTAAGTGCTCCCATCTTGGACTTAAGTGATGGAATTCCTTGTACTCTCTCTTAAACGTGACACGGATAATTCTGGTTTTTAACTTCTAATTCAGTTGATTGGATAGTGCTTACCCAGTGCTGCAAGATGGATGCAAACTCAAGAAAAATTTCTGCTTACCGCAGCAGAAGTTATTATTTCCTACAGTTGTACGCACTTCTTCACTTAGAGCTTTTTGTGTTTGAGATACGCCTGCATCCCTTGCAATCTCTAATTTTGCTGTGAGACTTCAAAGATTTTTCAAAGCAACATCGATACTTTGTCCTGAAGCTCGGAACGGCTGTTGTGGGGAGATTTTCATCCATCAACCATGTCTGTGATACAGAGGGACACTAGTACCAAGCACCTATTTCCCATTTGCATAATGCACATCTGAGGTGATGACAGACCACCTGGAAGATTTTGTGTGAGCTATTAATCCCATTCACTCCTTGAAGAGAGGCTTTAGCTGTGAAGTGAAACCTAGCTGAAAATGGCAGGTAATTCTAAGTTTTTTGAGCAACAATATTTGTGCAGTCATTCCTTGAGGCACAGAAGGAGACCTGCTTGGTTCCCTTTTAATTCTGGGTATATTCATTTCAACCTGTGGTGTAGCTCTTGTCGAATGGTTATTTCTTTGCCTGAATATGAACTGCAGGGGTGGCACAAGCACCTAACAGGAAAGCCAAGGGGCAGCAGAGCAATTATGGCCAGTGAGACACAGAAGAAAAAGATGTCCCTGCTTGGAGCAGCCAGACATGCCTTCACAACCTTGTCCTTGCCTTGTTTGGCTCCAAGTCCATTGCATGTTTCTGCATCTTAGCATTAGAGGAAGCAAGAGGAAAGGACCTACTGTTCCCTTCATGCCTTGCCTCCTAGAGATCCTGCTACGGCAGCACACGGTCTCTGGCAGCGTTGCATCACTACAGGCAGTCCATAGTGTAAACGTACATTCAGCGTACTTCTCTTGAAGACCTAAGGGGTAACAAACCTCACATTCCTCTTCTCGTGTAACATGTATGAAGACATGGGCTTTAGAAGGACATTGTATAGCTACAAATGTCAGTTATTTGAGGTAAGCAACATCTCTTTAAGGATCTCAAGGAAAAAAAGCAGACGTTTTTCTATTGATGGGATAGGCACAGCTGTCAGGAACAAGACCCTATATTATTCCTTTAAAAAAAAAAAGTGTGCGCTTTGATACCTGTAATAATCCAAATTAAATGCTCACACTGACCATGAAAGTTGTCAGATCATGGCAGTGAAGTGCTTATGTCAAAACCGTAGTAAAATAACTACTGCAAATCCTAAAACACTGCTGGCAAGGATACTGCAAAAATGTACAGCATTTATTCACGTACAGACAAAAAGGCACAATTCTACTGAATATCTTAACAAAAAATACAGCTGTCTTCAACTAGGTCTTTATAAATACTTCAAAAAAAGGGAGAAAATAAATACAGGATTGGGCCATGTAATATAAAATAGTCATCTCTACATATACTTTTTATTTCTATCTGTTTCTCTTCATGCACCTTTTTGTAATTAATTTCAGCTGAATGGACACCAAAGCTAGGCACATAGTGAAAAATCATTTGTACAAGGTCTTACAAATGTAATGACAGTTTTCTCAAATTTCTGAAATTAAGATTTATACACAACATACATAACCCTTCATGTAGGTTTGTGAGAGTTTAAAACCTAGCAAATGGCATTCCAGGCAACTTGACAGAAGTTCAGCTAGCCTACAGTTTGACAGAATACACCAGTCGTGGTTGAGAGATCTCTTGGTCAGTCTGCACAAGGAAAGGTAACACCTAAAACCAGAAATTCAGCAAATGGTTCTATCCCAATAAAATACAGGGCTGGGTTTGTATTGTCACTGCTGTACTTAGAACAACACCTCTTCCACTGAGCGCTAAGCGTGGGAGACAAAACTAACCTACAGAGCTGGTCCTACTGCAGTCTGGTTACAGCTTTTTTGGTTTTGGTTCAGCTCAACTTGAAACATCAGAAAGCTTATTAACCTAAATATCAGGGAATGGAACAGGTAAGGCATTACTTCTGGACAAAGTTACCATTCGTAATAGTGCAAATTAACAAGGTACCTCTTTCAAACCGGTGTGAGGTTAAATGTTTATGTAGAATCAAAATTTAGGTTATTCCATCTATGGCTTGACAAACAATTCCCTATATATGGTCATGAGCTTCTTTATTCCAGGAAACAACAGTACCAGCCTGGAAATCATTGCTGTGTGTCGAGTAGAACTTAACTGCATTTACTTTTTGTCTGTCTATTGTTTTAACTTAACTGCATTTACTTTTTGTCTGTCTATTGTTTGATCAAATAAGTAATTTGATTTTAGCACATCCCAAGAGTGACTACATGACTTCAGACTGATCAGTGCCCTGTTGGACTTCGACCTCCGTAAGTCACAAAGTTAACTTCTTGGGACCAGCAATGGTATTTTAAAAGTATACCGTCACACACAAAATCCTCCTTCTTCAAGGTATCAGAAGGTTGACTTCTGAGTTTTAAAACAAATTATAGGGATATATTCTGCTGAATTATTTAATTGTAACTTGCATAGCAACATAGGGTGTTAATAAGCCTATTTTCCCTTTTTTTTCCCTCCCCTTTCCTAATTGAATCCCCTGGAAGACTCAGTTATGGCAGAGCTCTGCTGTGTTTTAAATGCTCCCTGCGCAAGAGGCAAGGGTCTGACATTAAAAAGTGAGTGGGTGTGGTACCGTCAGGCTCGGAGTAGAAAAGGGGGCAGGGGAAGGGGGTTCACTGTGCCTGCCTCTCAGCAACACGTTGCTGCTGAAGCTTTTTCACCAGTACGTACCTGACTGACATTTAAGTAGAATTCCAAAATTTACAGGTCGCTAACACCCAATGTTACTTGTGCGCTCTACTCTGTACAAAACAGTATCCTAACAATCTGTGAATATTATTGCTCATAGCTTACTAGTTATTGCCATTTGCAATTATTAAAAAAGTACACTATCAGAATACGCGTTCCCTCTTCCATCAAATCTAATCCAGAATAGAATGAAGTATTTTTTCTTCACTTGACTGTAAAGAGCTAACCACAATTTATTGCCTTTCCATCTTATTCTATTTAAAAATATATATTCGTGTCCATTTTAAAGCAACCCTTAAGTGTCATAAGCCTGGCTTTCCCAGTACATACCATTAGTGCATATGTGGTGGGCTTTGGGAAATCCTACCAACTAGTGCCTTAGAAATATTTTTCTGAATTGTCATCCTGGAGGCAGGAACGGTGACGGGTTTATTCCACAGGGTGCTGCGACCCACGAGCCTGTCCCCTTGCTCAGAACTGAGCCCTTTCAGAGCGTCCTCTGTGCTCGTCAGGCAGCTGCAGCCCTCACTTCGGCCTCCTCCAGTATAACAGCACGGTTAAATCTGGTCATCTCATAGGTGTATTTACATGTAAACTCTGGAGCTTATGGAGGGTTCTGAAAGCAAGAGAAAACATTCTGCAGAGAGAGGAAAAAGACCTACCACTGTCCCAGGAAAGTGACCATTTGTAATGGGGTCTAGCAGTGCAGGATGGTTAAACAACCACCTTCGATTCAATTCAGTACACATTAGTTCAATTAAGAGCTTGTGCTTTTCCAGAAGGCAGGGGAAGGGAGTAAAATTTGATCAGTGCTTTTTAGCTAAAAGGGCTGACTGACCCTTCTAGAAGGTTTTTGTGAGTTATTTTAGTGTTCATCGCAAACTTGAGTAGTGATTTCACTTCTCTGCTTACTCGGGAAAGTTGCAAATAAAAGAGATTCAAACTTCAGAATTGGGGGCAGTTAAAAAACAACAGCTTTAAGTGCATGTAAACAAGTTATACAGTTTAGGAATAACAAGTTATCGATTTGTCAGTCTGTAGCCATGTCTAAGAACTCTCTTCTCTCACACCAATAAATAACGTGGAGTTGGCTGGTAGGCGGTGACTCCACTGACACCGCATCCCTGCATCCAGTCAGGATGACAGGATGTTTCTGATAATGTCCCTCCTTCTGCTGGCAGCGCTGTTTGGGCTGAGCCTCTGCTGCCTGCGCTTTTTCTCAGGCACTTCAGTCTCCGGGTCACTCATTTCAGCATCGGAGATGTACCCGTCGTTCTCATTGTCACGCTTTCGCTTGCTCCTTGCTCTGTCCTTCGGTGAAACTCTGCCCATGCCCAGGCAAAGGCAGCTGGAGTTCTGGCGGCAGGTCTCCTCGGGGCTCTCACCCTGCTGCTGCCTCTCCCCCTTCTTTGGAATTCGGAATCCACCCCAGTTTTTCACCGGGATCGTGGGCATCGTAGGCACTTGAACTACTGTCTGACTGGAGTTTACTTTGACGAGACCCTCCATGCATTTAGGCACTATATCCCTCCGCGTGCCAGGTGCCGACCTACCACTGGAGTGGTTCACAGCCCTTTTGTTTTCCGAATGCCTCTGAGAGGGTTCTGTAGGTCTCAGTGGTTTGTGGTTGTGTTTAGAAGTCTTTTCTTTGAGCTCTGCCTTGTTCAGCTCACGCTGTGGATGATTGTCTCTTCTTTCTCTGTGGCCTGGTGCAATAATGACATTTTTCTGCTGCGCCGATACAATCCGTGTTTCTGCAAAGGTCTTGTCAGAATTTGAAAAGCTCCCTGGAGCTGCACCGCCTTCCCTTTGGCTGGGCTGCCCCAGCGTGGATTTGTCGTCACTCCAGGACCTGTTTCTGTCTGTCCTGTATTGTTTTTCCAAAGGGTGAGTCAGAGATGTACCCATTTGTTTCCTGAAGAATGCAGAATGCCATTTCAAATCCTCTATCTTAGGGACACTGGGGCCCAAAGACGGACTGTTGAACAACACTGCATCTTCCATGGAAGAGGATGAGGAAGGCACACCTAAATGTAAACAAATGAAGTCAAAAGTCAAGCAATTCTGTGTCTGGGTACATACAATAACCCCTTTCGAATAGATCTATTTTAACTCTGTTCCTCGTGCCTGACACTTTCTTCAGCATAAATAGGCATCTGGCTGCCTATCCAGCACCTCACATCATGATTATATGGCTATGTCAAGGTTTCCCAACGTGCTGCTGGTGTAGTTTCTCTGTATTCTGTCTAAAATATGGCTTATTAGTTACTGAGTATTTTACGGATAATCTAGTTAATGCTGTAACACTGAAGTAACTAATCTTTTCAAGAAAAGACTACCGTCAATACGATTATGCAGAAAAAACTTGTTGGTTTAAAACCTGAGTGTTCCCTTTTCCAAATTCATTTCTTTGAACTGCCATCTATGATGCAAGGGAACGCACGCTGAACACCAACGCAGTGGCACCGACACACCACACACTTAGGAGCTACCATCTGGCACTTGAATGTAAGTCACGGTCTCTCGGTCCTAAGGAGTCGTTAAAGAATCCCACCAGGCAGGGTGGGAGCAGCACAGCCCTCTGTGCCCAGGGAGCCGAGTGCACTGTGCCCACCGTTACAGCGACACAGATCCTCGGTTCCACATTCAATCTGCTGATGCGCCACAGACTGCACAAGGTTTTAATGAGAATAAACGAGGTCCTGTTCGTCCTTCAAAATTAGTCAGTAGCCTGTAACCACACCTCAGTACTTGTGCCTGTGGTCTAATGTGGGAAATACAAGACTGAAGCGTACCTGAAACTCTTTCTTGTTCCAACTGCTTTATGTAGGTATTAAATATCTGTTCTTGAACTTTGCAAACTGATCTCTTGATTTTTTCCCTTCGGGTCACCATGTAAGTCAGATTACGCACCTACAAGACATCAAGTTTATGAGTTTTACAGGAACTGTGTTTCTACAATATTGTCAATCTGTGCTTGGAATTAATTGAGTTTAAGTACTATACACCGTTAAAACGCATTAGTAACATTGTTAAATTTAACCTTCCCCAAAACACTTCTTAGGAAAGAATCTTAAATACCAATTAATGACAGATGAGTCTATCAGATCGTGAGAGGATCACAATACAGAAGTAACTTCTATGGACATATGGATCATGTATGTATATATATACATGCACATGAAAAATATATATATATGTATCTATGAAATGCCTATCTCTATCTGTCTCTATAGGAAATGCCTTTATCTCTCTCTCTCTCTCTCTCTCTCTCTCTCTCGGAAATGCCTATGTATACCTCTATCTCTAGGAAATGTCTACAGCTGTGTATCCTTAGGAAACATATTTCTTTCTAGCTATCTTTAAGAAATGCCTACCTATATCTACATATCTGTATCTATATAGGTAATGCCTTTATCCACCTGTCTATCTATCTATTGAAAACACCTCTCTATGTATCTCTATCTGTTGGAGATTAAATGAAGTACTTTACTTGAAGAATATTATAATTGTGTGATTGCTTAAAATTAGGATGAATTGAAACTTGTTTCATGAGTGACATTGCTTAGCGTGAGTAGCTGGATTTACTCAAGCCTGAGGCCACACACTGTGGGATTTTCACCCCAAATGCTGCTGAGCTCAGGCTGAAGTAAGGTCTGGAAACCAGCACTAATTCAAAGGTAAGATCACCAGAAACCGCATCCTCGCCCTAAGGACAGAAGACAGAGAAAGGACCCAGCACAGAACAAGAAGACCCCAGACCCAAATATGACTTCTAGACCAAACCATGGCATGAGGGGAAGTGAACTTAGCCTGTAAGGGTGTGACTGCTGGGGGGTTTCTGTGTTGGGGGATTCCTCTCAGAGGTCCCAGCTGGAAACAAACCGACCCTGTGGCCAAACGCAGCCCGAGCTTTTCCCTCCCAACGTGTCGGGGCTGAGCCTGGATCCAGCCACACCTGGACCCCTCTCTCCCTGAGGGAGTGCAGAAAGCGGGGAGGGCCGGTCTGAGCCTGTCTATCTCTGGAGGAACTGCCTATATTTATCTGTACCTAGCTATCTTTAGGAAATGCCTGTATCTATATACCTGTATCTATTATCTATCCCTAGGGAATGCCTACATATGTATGTATCTATCTATCTCTAGGAAATACCACTGTATGTATGCAGGTACCTATCTATCTAGTGATCTGTCTATCTCTAGGAAATGCCTATATCTACCTACGGGTAACACTTCTATACATCTCTACACGTATCTCTATAGGAAATGCCTATATATTTATATCTAGGAAATGCCTGTATCTGTATCTATAGATATCCCTAGGAAGTGCTTATCATAGAATCATAGAATGGCATGGGCTGGAAGGGACCTTAGAGATCATCTAGTCCAACCTCCCTGTCATGGGCAGGGATGCCACCTCTCGACTAGACCAGGCAACACATGGGGACCGAGCAGGAATCGAACCCGCGACCTCGGTGTTGGTCATTGTTGTCAGCACTGTGCTCAAACCACTGAGCTAACCGGCCCCCATATATGTATGTATCTATGTATCTCCAGGAAACACCACTGTATACATCTATCTTCATAGGAAATGCCTAAAAATACCTATATCTTTAGGAAATGCCTCTATCTATATCTATCTATCTGTAGGTAATACCTACATATATTTACATCTATCCCTAGGAAATGCCTATCTGTATCTCTCTCTCTCTCTCTCTCCCTATCTCTCAAGGCCTACATATATATCTATATACAGGAAATGCTATATATCTACATCTATCTCTAGGAAATGCCTATATATCTATCTAGAGGAAATACCGATGTATGTCTATAGGAAATGCCTATAAATGTCTGTATCGGGAAATGGCTATATCTACCTCTATCTGTCTATCTATGGGAATTGCCTATATATAGCTATACCTCTAGGTCTATACCTATATAGCTCTATGTCTATCTCTCTGTCCCTAGGAAATGCCTACAAATACATCCATCTCTGTGAAATGCCTATATCTTTCTCTAGGAAACACCTCTCTACATTCACCTATTTCTCTCTATAGAAACTGCCTACATATGTATATTACCTATCCCTAGGAAATGCCTATAAATAACTTTATGTATCTCTAAAGAAAATGCCTTTATATAGCTGCAACTATCTCTGTAAGAAACACCTGCATATATCTCTCCCTAGGACATGCCTATATCTGTCTATCTACATGGGAAATGCCTATACATATCTCTCTCTAAAGAAAATGCCTATATATATCTACACCTGTTTCTATGCCAATATATATCTGTATCTCTCTATATAGCAAATGCCTGTATATATCCATATTTATGTCTATAGGAAATAACTATGTATCTTCAATAAATTCCTACATATCCCTATCTATCTATAGGAAATATCTACCTATATCTACAGAAAATGCCTATAAATACCTATATTGGGAAATGCCTATAAATACCTCTAGGAACTACTTAAAATACCCACATCTATCTTTAGGAACTGCCTACATATCTATATCTATCTAACTCTACAGAAATTGCCTTTATACCCCTATAGCTATGTATCTTCAGGCTATGCCTATCTATATATCTGCACCTACTTCTATCTCCGTAGGAAACGCCTATGAACATCTACATGAAACACCTGTAGGAAATGTCTCTATATATCTATATCTATCTATTTCTATAGGGAAACATCTATATCTCTATATAGGAAATGCCTGTGGATATCTGTATCTATCTCGGATGGAACACCTTCATGCAAAGTCAATAACCAAGGGTGGACTTGGGAAATGGCACTACCGAGGCGGTGCAGTGGCTTACCCGCTCTAGATCCTGCCGGAGGTGCGTGAAGAGCTGCAGCCTTCTAAGGAGGACATCCTGTTCCTGTTTGGCCAGATTGTCCTCTTCGTCCTTCTTTGGGGTAATCAGCGGTTGATTGAAGTTGGCCTTTCTCTTTAGCTTCCAGTACTGGTAAAGGAATTCCACCAGGTCCTCGGGCAGCCACAGTGCTTTGGCCACTTCCAGAGGCTCCACAAATGTATAGAATTCATCCTCCAGCTGCTGGAGCTTCTGCTTGCGGAGGCTGACCCTGTGGGCCTCCTCCTGGCTTTGACCCATGCTGCAGAAAGGGTCAATGTGGGCAGGAAAAGACATGTCCTGAGTCCTGTTTCCATTCTCCTGGCCTGGGCTTCCATTGAAAGTCTCATCATCCTCTTTCTTGGTGGAGCTGTGCTTGGGACAGTACGACTTGAATTTTACCTCATCATCCTCTGTCAGTATGGTCTTCATCTCCAAGCCACGGTCAAACGCGCAGGTGACGTGAAAGGCTGTTCTGCAGCTCTTCACTGAACACTACAGATATTAAATGCAAAATAATCAGATGGAAATGTCAGAAGCCTAGAACTACCTAGAATTATTCAGGCAGCCAGGACTGCTTTGGCAGAACAACCCTGTTACCACGCTCTGCTTCTAGGCTGCAAGTACCTTCTTGCTCTCTCTTCATTAGCTTCACCATCTAGTGCTTTCAGGCCAGGCAGCGAGCAGGTGGCCCAGCGGGACAGGCACGGTTAGCCCCTCCCTAGCCCAATCACGCTGTTCAGGAGCCAGCAAACCCACGAGCAGAGCACTCGCAGAGTCACCAGACCTGCTCAAGTAAGGCAGCGCTGCACAAACGAGAACCTTCTGCCCTTAACTGTGCCAGCAGAAGAAAGAGGAAAAAAAACTCTGCAGTGGCTACGGCCCAATCTGGAACTTCTAATTAAAAGTCTTTCCCAGCACCTGGACCCACACTACGCTACAGGCCTTAAATGACAGGAATTTTTTTTCTGTTATCCTGATTTTAGAATGTCAAATACTAAATCACTGTTCATCACTACTTCACCGACTATGGCCTTCACTTCAGCTGGGGGATTAGGAGAATGGGAAATTCAATTTTTTTGCCATTTTCCTTCCCTTCCAGTGAATCCAGCCATCACAGAGCGACAAGCATTAGTTCAGCTGATTTAGCACCTCATTTCAATTATATATGTTGTTTTCTCTTGCAAAACATTGTCATAGCTGTCACCAGCCACAGAATGAAAGGTTTAAATACATATATGTATGTATATACACACACGTAAACATATACAATTGTATTGACTCACACCTCCGCCTCCAGTGAAAAGAACCTGAAGTGGAAGTGAACATTAGTGCTATTAACTAGGAAGAAACAAACCCACGGTTGACCCGAGTCGTCTAACCTTCAGGAGAAATGCACTGCACTGGGATGTTCATAAAGCACTTTGTAAAGAAGCCAAACATCTGGGTTTTCCTGCTCAGGCTGACTCAGCAGCCAGGTGGCATATAAAGGTACAACAGAATGCAAACTGCAGAAGTTTCAAATTAACATTCTTTAATACAAAACCAAGTTCCAAAAGGACTTTAAAAAGACTAAAGCATCTTTTGCCCTTTCCTCTCTTCCTAACAAACAGGACAAAAGCAACCCAAGTGGAACACCGAACAGTCCAGAGGAGTCCATCAGCCAGGGGTTTATTTTGGAATAATCAGCTCTCAGAGTGGCCAGTGTTTTATTGGGAAAGCCTGTCTCATTGGAAGGAAACGTGCTGAACTGGAGAGAATACGCGCTCTCCTTTCCCCCAGCTTACTGCAGCTGCTCTCTGTCCAGCCTGACACATACATCCGGCTGCCGGCTTTTCTAATTGTTGTGCACATGTCCTAACACCTCTGGAGGATCTCCTGCAGTTCATCCACTTAACACTACTTCCCTTCTATTGCAGTGGCTACATATAATGTTCTCCGCTGTATAAAATTTCACAACCAAATTCGAAGTATTTCTCAATGCTAGCTTCAATGATATCAAGATTCACCTAACTCTCCTAAAATGTGAGGCACAATTGTCATTTTTTTGTCTTTTCCCCATAATTTCAAATGTAGAGCTGCCTGAAGTGGCAGCCATCATGCCCCCAAGTCATCCTGTGTCGTCACTAGAAGGGGAGAGGTGGTATCAGAACAAACATGGAAGGACTCTCCCCTCTCCCCTGCACACTAATATAAACACTAAAATGTTCAACCATTTGTGAAGTTACCCTTCACAAACAGGCCTGGAGACAGGACAAAACAGCTCTACTTCTTCCAACTCCTTACGAGACAGTAATATCTGTCTCAGGGAGCTTTCAGAAGATCATTTTGCTGCAGTATATGGCACACTGTGAAGGTGAAGAACATATTACCACAATACCAAGCTAGATTTTTTTTTTCCCCGACACAATCACAACATCGCCCCAAGTGAGACACCTGCCCTTACTCTCATCATGTTTTCTCGAGTAAAGCAGATCAAAGATTTGTTTCATGTCTCAGAAGACCAAGCATCTTCTCTTTCAAAAATCTGGGGCTTGGTAATGTGTTTTCTCCATCTCTTCAGATTTTAAAATTGTTCTTAAAATTATTATTTAACATTCCTGAGCCATTTTCCACTGAAAAGGTTCTGCAAATGCTTTACAGCTAACAACCCACTACAAACACACATGTGAAACCACAGCGCCCAGCACAAAACGCTCTGGTGCAGAGCCATTCAGTTATTCAGCAGCGACAATTCCCAAGCTAGGGTGAGAGAGGCTGAATCCAAATCCAAGTGCAAGTGCAGGGACAATTTCAGAAGTACACAATGCGACAAACTGGCACTGGCCCAAGAACATGAGTTGTTGGAAAGGAACAAATGGCTCTATAGTGCTGGCTTTATAGTTGAATTATTGCATATGGAAATCCTTCTCTTTTGAAACTATAAAGTCTAGACATTCGTTTTGATTCTGTCCCATCTCGCTGTTTTAGGCAGTCACCATCCCTGAGCTTGAGTGAGTACCAGAAGCCAGATCAATACTGTTGCACTGCTTCCGCACTGGTGGGAACTGGGAAGCACACATCCAGGAGGGTTTTTTTCCCCTCCGAAACACCAAGAGCTCCAGAATCGACCCACAACTGATGGAGGAAATGCGACTGACTTCCTCAGCTTGTGGCTGGCTTGAGTCTCAGGGAAGACTGGTAAAACAACCTGTTTTTTTCCTAGTGCCCAAGAAGCCTAGTATTAGATGCTCTGATATTCTCCTCAGCAACTTAAAAGCTGGACCAACAACAAAACAGTCACAGCGAAAACAGTCCAGTGTTAAGTAGCACCCAAAATGAGAAATTCAAAGCCGCAACGAGCTTTATCATCAAAGTGATGGTGTTTACTTCCACTGAGAGCTGGGCATGCTCAGCACTTGAGACATCCCAGTCAATACAGGCAATACACAGCTCCCACTGAGGGATCCAACTTGTCTCAGAAGTCGCTAAATAGGAACTAGCACATCAGTTTCAGCACAGCAGCTTTCAGCGTTCACGCTTTGGTTTCGTATGTGGTACTTGACAGAAATACAGGGGTTTTTCCTCTACCCAGCAACATTCAAGTACACTAACACACCTATCGGTGTATCTACAAATCAGCAAGTTATAGGGGATGACCTGACTATTATTATTGACACTTTACTAGAAAGTAAGAGCACGCTAACATTCACCTTGTGTGCAATTAAGTCCATAGTAATGACCAGGAAATCAAAGTTTACCTCGAATACACATTTTGTGCATCTACTAATAACACATGGATATTTGTGCAATTAAATTACCTGTATACAAGCTCCAACTTTTTCATTGCAAAGGCTGCACACCAGGGCCCATCGACTGCTGGGAATGTGAGAAATGTTTGTGATGGGCTCCATTTTTTCCGGGCTTCCGATGCTCACCTAAGAGATAAAAGATTTAAAACCACAGAGTGACTATTACACTGTTAACTGAAAAGGGAAATAATTCTATCAAAGAAATCAAATTTCTTGTGTGCCTGTGCAAAATCAGCATGTTTCTCATTTGTAAGGAACTAAAAAAAATTGCTTTTTTAAAGAAGTCTCTTTCTCACCGCATGAATAAAACGGTTTCAAGGTGAAGCCCTCCAACTTAAAATTATGATAGAGGATGAGTATTTTGCTCTTAAGAACCCAGAGGAATTCTCATTGCCACATCCAAACCTTCCTGGTTCACCTTTAATGTTCCATTTAAAAAACAAAATGGTACGTAGTGAGCTTGACAGCAGCAAGGGTCTAGTATTTTGCGGTCTAATTTTGATTGCCAAAGGTAATGTAATTACTTTCTATAGAGATGATGCATCATGCTGCAACACTTAGCATCTAGCTGAAAATCTTTCCTGTTTTTTTCCTAAGAACTACCACATATATGCCACACTCAGTGTAGCAGCACACACTCAGCTGAATCACGGTTTTGACACGCTCCTCCTCTCCCAGAATCACGGCAGCCCTGACCTGCCAGAGGATTGGCACCTACCTCTGGAATCCACAGAGCACAGCTAACGTGGACCCACTTGGTGCCACTCCGGGTCGGCTTCATGGCACCACCCTTCTTAGGACACAGCAAACACTTGGGTTGGACGGCAAGCGCGCAGGTCCTGCACAGCCAGCTGCCTTCCGGCACGTTCAGGATCCCGTAACACGCCTGTATTCCCATGTACAGAAAAAAAAACAAAAGAAAACAAAGGTAACAACATGGACTTATTACTTTTTAGCCCGTCACACATAGACTCTCACAACCCTTAAAATGTTCTTCATGGAACTTCTAACACTATGAAAACGTTAGCCTGTGGAGTATCTCAGGATGCTTTCATAACCTTAGCCAACCCCCTTACCCATTCATTCCCCAGAAAGATCTTTCAGTGAAAGGAGCAGAAGTCACGGCCAGCTCTCAAAGGGAAAAGTGCAGAATGACAACTAAGATCACTTTCATGAAAAGACTACATGTTCACAGAGTCCTCCATCTAGATTACTGTCAGTTGAAACCCTCTTAAGCTTCAGATGTGACAAGAGCCTCAGGATCAGAGCACCACTACAAGTATAAAAATGTCCACTCTGAGTATCTTGCAAGACAGCCATTTGTACCTCACCACTGTCATAAGCATATTTCTTTGTTGCTAGTGCATTTAAGAAACACATGCAAGAAAATGCCATTCTTGTTCACCAGACAACACAGCTTTGCAAACACTGAACGATAAAAGCAAACTCCTTAAAGCCGGAAGGAAGGACAGGCTGATAAGGAAGGCATCTGCCACTGTAAGGAGCATTCACGGAAACAGATCTGCTAAAACTCTACCTGTTCTCTCATGCTAAGAAGACTTCTTAACTGCCACAAAAAGGTGGCACACAGCAGTGTTTCACTTGCCTGAAAGTTCTTTTTTCCCCTCCCTGCTGAGCCTCAGTTGCTGATATTAAAGGTGTGTTAGCCCCCGAAGCGTGCAGAAAGAGAGGAAAAGCTCCAGTAAGACAAGTGACCGGCTGAGAATGTACACCACCACACAGGTGTGTTTTGGGGATGCTACTCTTCACCTTGTAACTTGCTTCACATACAGACAACACTGCTTTTAACCCTCTGGGCATGACATTGCTAGAATTACATGTAACAATTCTCCTTCTGAGAGTTCCGAAATTCATCTCACAGCTCAGTGGTGAATGCCACTACTATATTTAACAGATCAACATCTGTCACAGGAAAAAAAAACCCAATCTGTAATCTGTAACGGTTTGAAGAAGTTTCCGTCACCACCCCTACACCGCCACCATGCCCCGGCCACCGTACCTGGTGCACACAAATATTGCATTTGTCACAAAACACCATTTCATTGCTGTCTTCTCCATCCGGAGACCGACAGACGTCACAGACAACATCTTCATCATATTCAATGCCAAGTCCTTCTTCTGTCTCGATAGCATGACTCATGCTATCATAGCATCGTTGTTCAAACTCCTCCATGACCCTTTCCATCATGCACTCCTCCAGTTCAGGCATACCTGGGAAAGAGGAATTGTTACTTACTTAAAAGAACAAGTGATAACCACATCACCATGCAACTCCAGCCGAGTAGATACAGCCAACCTCCACACGTACACACTGCATTCCTACACAATCATGCCTATTTCAGCATTAAAAATGTCAAGGTCGCAACTGTATTAAACTAACAGAAGCGAAGTATCCAAACCAATCTTTCAAAATCTTGAGAAAAACTTTCATAAACTGATTTTGGCTTCCAAGTCGTGTTCTTGTTCTTCTTCCTGGGACAGCACTGTCTATGGCTTTTGCTTCACTTTTGCAACCCAGACGCTGACTCCTTGGTGAAAGACTTGAGAGTGTTTTGAATGAGAAGTGATGAGGATAGAGGCAGGAAATCAATGACAGAATCTGCTGCGGTACTTGCAGCAAACTTGTAGTTTCTAACAAGTTGTTGGTTCCTTACAAGTTCTAACCCAACAGGGTGCAGCCCCAACTCAGGTCTCTCAGACTCTGCTGTACCAGCAAATGTTTGGTCTAAAAAGTGAAAATCACAGTTGTAATAAATGCAACATCAAATCTGTGACAATAAATAAAAGCAACATCTAATGTGGGATTTGGTCTTCTCAAGTAGCATCCATCAGAAAATTATTCCTGACACTACAGCTACAGTCCGATCCCATTAGAGTATTTTACAGTTCAAATATTATAGAACTGAAAAATTATCTGCCATAGAAGCAGGAAGAAAAACATCCAAAAAGCCCACAGTGCTGCCCTCACTGGCTTTCATCTCTCCCTTACCATGACAATGAGCTGGCCAGAAAACTTCCAAGTTGGTACTACACCAACCTTTACCCCAAAATCGTGCCACACAAACATGTGCAAAACCAGGACAGCTGTACTACTGCCAACAGTCATTATCCTCTTGCAAAGTCAGTTTGGCACAAGAATTTCCACATGCTTAAATCACTAGAATAAAGCACAGGCTTGGGATATCCTGGTTTTGGTCTGATTTTCAACACCTAACATTTACTGTGACGTACAGAAGATGGCATCCTCATGATGTGTGTTTACAGAGAAACACCGCCTTTCAGCTCTCCCTGTGAATACCTGAGCCACAAATTCCACAAAGCAAAGAAGAAAAAAACCCAAACCTCTCCAGCTCCCCCTGATCAGATGACAAATACTCTACATAAGTACTTCCAGCTTCCCCTACTGACAGGTAAATCCTTGCAGCAGAGATCAGTGATCCCACACTACCCACACTGAGCAGCTGAAAGGTAGCCAGAGGAAACACCCAAAATCCTGCTGATGCGAGAGTGGATTTTACCCTGCAACCCAGAAATACCGCAGCAGCAAAGCTGGTGATGGTGGGTTTTAGTCCAGTTTTCAGCTAAATTCTAACCTTATGACTGTTCCCACTTTATCAAAAAGCCTTAGAGATATGTCATTGACTGTGCATTTATAAGGGTTAAAAAAAGGAAAGCGAGGGGCTGCGGCTTCAGTTCAACTGTTTACATTCATTCTTTTAAAGACAGAACAGACATTTTCAATATCTGATGCACTTCGATGGGTATCAAAGAAAACACAAGGATTCATAGCTGCAGGGACACCATAAACAAAGTGTTACAACTGCAGATGATGAAATATTTCACTTTCCAAATGCCTGTTAATATTATCTGTAGAGTACAGCGTCTGATAAAGCACCCAGTTACGTGTTTCAAGGCCCACAACATGGTGCCTGGTACTGACACGAGCATTTCCTTCCCTCTGTGTATAGCGAAAGGGAGTGGGTAAAGATTTAGATCAAACATATTACAAAAAACCACACTGACACACAACATCAAAGATACGATCTGTCAAATTCTAGCTGTTCACTGCTTCAAGTCCAACGTGTACTTTTGAAAGTCAGGTTCGTGTAGCAGAACAGCCACCTCAGGGCTTCATGCACAGGGACAAAGAAAGCAAAGGGAACTTGCTGCTGCTTTCCTGATGATAACTGGAAAGATAACCCACACTCCTGAATCATCAGTTGCTTTGAAATCAATCTATTCCAACACTACAAACTCGAGCAAGCCTGACTTAAGATCTGGGAGAAAACATACCAGGTCAAGGCTGTGTCATGTTTCCTTCGTATGTGGATTTAAAAAGGAGAAACTTTACAATAGTTATAAATGGTCAGTTTGTGGTTTACCGGGTCTTAAGCCACGCCATGTATGGGCTACAGCCAGGTGAAACCCGTGTGACTAAATTGTAATCCAAACCAGGGAACTGCCAGAAGGCTAAAACAAAATCCCACAGTGTTCAACGTCTCCAAACCTCTTCCATCTGGCACAGAATCCTTTCCCTTATCTAAACAACGTGGTAAAGGTTCTGTACTGACTTATATCCTCTTCAATTCCACTGAAATCCTCTTCGAGAGCACACACCTTACCAGAGAAATGTTCCTATTCCTGCCCTGCTGCCCTGCCCCTGCCCACACACAAGCCATCCTGTAGCAAAGGGAAGAGCTGCTCCCCTTGCGACAGCTCCTCCTCCTGTTTTGGACCTGGACCCCAGGGGCACAGTAAGGTTTGGGAGATTCCTCCAATAAATCACTGCAGGAATTCCTTCACATCTCATTCCCTGTGCAATTCCACAGGCGTTAAGTTCTCTAAACCTCTCAAGACTCCTTGTCTACCTTCTTGGCACTGAACACCCCTAGCTAAAAAGATATTACAGATATGTGACACAGAGGAAAATAGGTACATTAAAAAAAAAAAAAAAAGACTAACTGGAGAAACTACCGTAATGGTCTGTCTGTTGCTCCCTTCAAGCACATTCATAGCGAAATGGGAACTTTGTGAGAATTCCCTTGTGAAACAGAAAGCAGCAGAGACCAAAAAAAAAAAACAACCTGTGGCCAGATCCTGACCTGGTCTGAGCAGATACAACCAACTTGTTCCGAAAGCATCTATCTTAGGGCTGAATTACATCAGGTCTGGTTTCCTGTGGCTATTCCAACTCATATGATTACTATCTCTTCATACCCACTGCTGCCTTCCCTAAAATTATTCATAAGATTGCCAGCTTTAAAATATAAAAAAATATAAAAAGAAGCAAGAAAATCACAAGCACTCATTGCTTACCCATTTCTTTGAATTCTTCATTGGTAAGCTGCAACCATGCCACATCCGTATCATCGAGATTGTAGCGACACATGCTGTTTGCTAAGGTTCGAATGTCACCACAGCCCAGCTCTGGAGGCTCTGAACCTGATGAAACAATGTACTTCCTGGGACGCGTAAAGGTGCCAGCTTTGGGCTCAGACACAATCCTAAAACAAAGAGACAAGCAGACGTCAGGTACGCTGGGTTGCCATGAGACTTCTTGCTAGAGAACTCAAAACGCCTGATCCAAAGTGACTAGCAGTCATCCAAGCATCCAGGCAATCACCTTGCACCACTGAGATGGGAAAGCAGTATCGCACACTTAACATAATGGGTTGGCATTATAATAAGAAATTAATTGAAGTTGTCTAAAAACTCAATTCATTCCCAAAACTCTAAACAAAATCAAAAGATTAGAGGACAGAGCTGCCCATACGCTTACCTGAAATTCACACTTCTAGAGTTTAAAATTTAAAGCTAGAGCAGGAACACTGTTATTTATGTAGTGATGGCTGCCACACATATGCTGAACTCTGTTTTAAGACTTTTTGAATTAATCTGTTCAACTGCAAGATCACAAAAATTCAGGAAAAAAAAAATACTATTTCCTGCTGCATCACTGCAGGGGGCTTGGACTAGATGACCTTTAAAGGTCCCTTCCAGCCTAATGCATTTTACGATACGATGATTTAAACTCTTCTTTCTTACAGTATGTTTCTTTTGATTTATTTTTCAGGTGTGTGCAGAACTACAGAATTGCCATTTTGTGAAACTCAGAAAACCATTCCACAGAGAATCAGTAATTTGCACTGGCTTCACCTTCACTTACCCAAGCAGATCCAAGCTCTGACATCCTGGGTCTGCATTTCCTCTTTCACAATCACTAACGTCATGGTGGGCCAAGCGTAAATATTAATCAACTGCTGCTGAAACTATCTTCTCTAAGGTTTTGAAGGCTCTAGCTGGCCAACAACCAACTATGAAAGCCTATTTCAGCTGCAAGCCAACTGAAATCTTGTTTGACCACAGGCATTGGTTCAGGAAACAGTAAAGTAGCTACAGCACATAATTTGCTCTAGGTCAGATTTCTGCAACGCCGCAACTTAGCTAAGCCAGGAGACGGGCGAAAACCCACCCACCACAGCGGTCACTCTACCAGCAAGGGAATTCTGTCAGCCCAGCTGCAGCGTGTCTCTCTCAGCAGAGGACACTGTACCTTCTTCTCAGTTACCTGCACAACTGAAATTCAGTTTGGCTAAAACCCACTTCACACCGTACCGCTGGCACCTCCAGGAGCAACAGGCCACACTGCCGAATGACTGTCTCCCGCAGCACCAGTGTCGATGATTTTTAAGGCTCTAGTGCTACAAGGGAGGAGATAGCACCACTGCATGTGGACACAGCTCACTGCTGGCAACAGCCTAAGCTCCACAACAAGTGGGACATCTCCATCTATTTTGCCCCCATCCAAAGTCCAATGAGTTAACCCCTCCTCCTATCGCAAGACACTGATCTGCCACTCCTGTGCCTGAACACAAAGTTCTCGGTAAACCCTCCACCTGTTTCAGTCTCCTGCACAGCCCTGCATCTCCCCCTCATCTAGCCTATTTTGGAAAACAACCTGAGGAATGGCAGGCAAGAGCCAAATGCTGCCTTTGGGGCTTCTGAGGTACAGAAGGTGACTGTAGAATATGAATCTGAATGACCTTGCCAGGCTCACTGCACTGGTCAAACTATTCCTGGTCATACTGCACAGTATTAAAATATTCCAGACTACTACATCTCACAGAGAAATTACTTTAAACTGTGTGGCTCTCTCTCAATCTTCTGTACCATAAATTCCTTCATACCTATGTCTCCACGTGGAAATCATAACCTCTGAGCAGCATCCTGCACATGCTGTCTAATACCACTGTAGTGGCAAAGAACAAACAAGCACAGGTAGTTTGGCTTCAAAACACAACCTCATCTCTTTATTTTTGTGGTAGAAACTAGTAAAAAAAAAAAAAGCAATACTTAGTACACAGTAAAACCCACATTCAGCTGAATTATCCATGTGACTACATGCTTACAATGAATCACCACACAGCCTTGCTCACTCCACCCCCTGGCCTTACTCATCCTGCCCTGACCAGTTGCTACAAGGCCAAAACTTTTTATTCTCTACTATGTACCACATTAGCATAAACTCTCTGCCCTGCGTTTTCCTTTTCTTCTACACCAGCCACTATGTGGCTATTGCTGATTTTATTTACAGAACATCTCCCTCCCAAAGTTAAGCACTGAACAGTTACAGCACTGCCATGGCAGGACTCTCCAAGTGTTTTTGTGAGCGGGCAGACAGGGTAATTAACCAGACATTAGAGTGTCACTGACCAGCAAGTGCTCACCAACAGGGCCATACAAGACAGCTCTGCAACTAATGAGAAGGGGTGCCTTCTGTGCTCAACCATGGGTACCTTCTTTCCTCCTTTAATATTTTAAATTTGGAGCAACAGCTCTGTTGGCCATTAGGAGAGAATAGCTCTCTCCTAATCGAGCACCTCGATCTTATAGAGCCAACACATCACCTCCCTGAAAGATACAAGGTGGGGATCCTCTGGAAGGTGTCCCTCTGCTAAAACCCACAGGTTTCCTGGTCCTCCTGCAGCCTTGGAAGATGCTTGAAAAAGCAGTGAGAAGACAATGTGAGCACACACGTACGATGCGTGTGCAATTATGCAGGGTCTGGGTAAAGTCAGTGTGGAGCAGACTGTGAGCACTGCAGGAAAATGGTACGTTCCCATGTCCCAAACTGCAGAGCAGAGAGGAAAATGCTGAGTTCTCATCAGAGCTCCATGTACAATCCTTCAGGAGGAGAAGGAAAGTGTTTACCTGATGTTCAGCTAACTTCCCCACTGCACAGGCCTAGTAGTGCTCAGTGGTGGTCTGCAGGCTGCTGCACAGAACACAAAAAGCTCCAACAAACTTTCCTGTAGTCTCCATACTCCAAGGTTAAAGCAGGAATATGCAGACCTGATAGAATCAGTGTAGCATCACCCAGAACCTGTAGCTGTATATCCGAGATGGGGCTTTTCGGGCCCCACCAGCACTGGTGGGTTATCTGGTAATGCCTTATGAGCCAGCCTGGACTTACTCAAAGAGAACTACTCTGATTAAATGGGAATAATCTTCATTATTCTCCTCTTTCTCCAACTCTAATCCCAGTAAAGCATAAAATAGATGGGCTGCAGAACACTCCTGCCCTTATAACTGTTCTGTTCCATTTGAAACAGAAAACAATATCCAAGTGTAACAAACAAGGTAAGGAAAAAGAGGGTTTCTTGGATAAGAGCTAGAAAATTTCACACTAACGTGTTTAGTTACATGCACATCTGGATGGTTATTAAAACAGCTGAAATCTTGGACAAGAAACAATTTCCTAAGTTAATAAATGAAACAACCAAAAAATAACGTGAAACCAAAATAAATGCTGTACTTTCTCTAGCCCTTAAATCTGGCTTGTCTAATTGTTCCTTGAAAGGAACCCATGACTTGGAACCAAGCACAAGAAGGATCAGACAAGGGCTCTCCCAGCAATGCTGAATAAGGCCCAGTCTGGGCTTAAAAACAGAAGCTATTTTTAAGGTTCTGTCATCATACTCCATCATAACCTAATGCCAGAAATAATCCTCTGACATTAATATTTCAACAGACAGGCAGAACAGGCCTGACTCTTCACCTCTCCAACCATTCCAAAAGTTGAGGTAGGTTGCTCTTCATGTCCGAGAACCAAAACCTCTCTAGCTAGACACTGTGGAATAAAGCTCTAGCAGCCAAGGTAATGTAGACATAAGCCACTAGCGTAAATGTGTGTGTATTTGTTTACATTCCTCCAAACTATACCTGGCTACTGGTTCTGGGAGGTTCCCTGGGCTAACTGGCACCTGAACTCCCTTTTCCCACTCCTGCCTCCAGGGGTCTGTCAGCACATAGTATTCATCAGGGTTCAGCTGGACGGAGTCATTTAACTTCATGGCAGTGATCAGGTCCATTCTGAACACCTGCAAAGAGAGTGACCAAGAGAGAAAAATAGAGACACTGACATTTGATATTTACACTCTAAGATTCACAGCTTCAGGGTAACCATGGAGCACAGTGTGTAACAAGGTCACTGTACCAACAGCGAACTGACCCAGCCCACTGCAGGACAGAAGTTGAGCTTCATGGCAGGGAACGGGGCGTCTCAAGGGGCAGGCACTGACAGAACAACTTCCAGCTAACTCCATCCCAAGTCCTGGCACTCCTCCTGTGCTGAAGCCGTAACCCTAAGAGGTGCCACCCGCTTTTGCCTCTGTCTTGGCTGCAATAAAAGCTGCAGGAGCTTTGAGTCTTATAACAGCAGCACAAGAAAGACTCATTTCCACTCCATGGTTTTTTGGGGGTTTTGTAAAATTACTGTAAAATTTTGTAAAATTCTGACTAATCCAAAGTCCAAAATTCGGACTAATCTACTCTACCACGAGCAGCTGCAAGAGGAAATTCTAAGGAGATGACTCTCTGTGCAAATATTTAAAAAAATAACTCAAAAGATGAACTGCAGACCCAACTGGAATTCTGGTGGCAGCTCTCTGGTTTAGCAAAGGTGCTTGGTATTCAGTCATCTACAGACACCTCCGCACCATAGCCGCAATTTTGCTTTGCCTTTGCAAAGGCATCCATCCCTAAAATGTGCAGGACATTTGGCAACTTTTGGGTTAGCAGCCATGAAGCAGCAGCAGTGCTGTCTTCGACAAGTCATGGAATGAAATAAAAAGGGATTTACTCTTGTAGCAGGCATGCTGGGGGTACTGGTGTGGCAGCTTCGGCCTGGTTGGCCACTGCCTACGAGCACTGCATAAGCCAGCGGTGCTATCACAGGCATCGGAACCATAAGCCTGCACTTGTTTATGTGTCTTCCAGCTCTCCCCACCCTGCTCTCCCTGCAAGGCATGGCTGCACTCAGCACTCCTCACCTGCACAACCATCAGTTTTTAACTACTCAGTGTCACATTCAAAGGAAGGGGTTAAAAAGCAACTAGTTGACAGAAAATAAGGACAAGAAGAAGATAGGTAACATCTTAAGAAAAGTTCTCCTGCAGAATGCTCAGTTTGTGGCAGACAGCCAGCAGCCACCCAGCCCTGTGTCACACACTTAAAAAGGAACACATTACCAGGGTAGTGCTCCTAGACACAACCTCCCAGTCCCCAACCGACGGCCACGCTGCTCTACGTTAGCTCCAGCCAAGTGTTGCATCTGGCTGAGGAAGAACAGGATCTACACAGAGTGAGAATCAGGCAGGCCTCCCCAGGACAGCAATTTCTGTCAAACATTATTCACACACCCAAAATCTCAATAGATTCCCTATATTCGAGGGGAAGTATTTTAGGGAACCAGTGAACCTGACAGTTAATTATACCTCTGAGAATATTTCAAAGTGTGATTTGCCTTACCACACTACACATCTTGAAATCTCTCCTCCCTCCCAGCACACACTCACTACTCCACTTCTGTCTCAGTTTCTGTGCTGTTTCTATTTCCAGTCTGGTTTTGTCATAAAAATAGCATAAAACCATGACATTTTTCTTAACACTTGTCTTGACACATTCAGAAAAACTGCCAACATTTTAAAATAAAGAATAATATTATCATATGAAGGAAAAGGTGAATGCAGGTAATGAAATATAATGAAATGTTTTAAACAATCCAACTACAATTCCTGTGAGGCTCCAATAAAGAAATGAAAAATAAGCCACAAAGTAAACTGGCTCATAAAACAAACAAGCACAGCTGGCCAGGGTATTCTGCACTTCTAAGAGAGTTCAATTAAAGCAATCAAATGCCAAAAAAAAGGAAGACTAAAAACACAAAATGGGATGCAAAACTTGCTCAATCTGAGAGCCAAAGTAACTCAGGTTCTCAGATACATTTGTCATAAAACTCCCTCAGAAGCAAAGCTAATGCAGCACCTGACAGCCAAGAAACTCCTTCCCAGGCCAGTGGCGCTGTGCCACCATTCTTTCTGCTCTAATTTCCGATGCCATCAGACTGCCCGGAGCAAAGCAGAGCGTACAAGAAGTGCTGGCTCTCAGAAGCACTGAACACTTCAGAGCTAAAGGGTGAAACCCTGGCCACGCTGAAGTCAATGGGAATGTTGCCACCAACTTCAATGAGACCGTGATTTCACCCGGGGAGTTTAGCAAGTGTCACTTTTCTGCCAGCACGCTTGTCATCAGACCAGCCGAGACAATGTAAACGGAGAGAGTGAGGGAGGGAGAGGTGGGAAAGACTGTGGAACAGAGCTAGAGGGCAGTAGATGCGAAGTCCATCCAGTCTGAGAAAACAAGAGAAAACTAAACTGCAAAGACTCTGGTAATAAATGCAAGGAAAGGGAGAGGACAAATCAGAAGCACGCAAAAGAAAACTCCAGCAAGATTCGCAATTATCTCAGATTATTCCATGATAGCCTTTCATGAGGTGGTTCTCAAAACTACACTTCTAAGGGATGTACACAAGATAATTAAGGAAAGCAAGCCCATCACCAGTAAGAATAAATTCACCAGGGGTTTCCACATTCACAAAAAGTCTTGAACAACGCACAATGACAAACAACACTGGAAAACACCAGTACTGGGTGTAGTTCACACTGAGCACTGAACAGATTCTTCTTGTGAAAACTCTTCTCTGGGTCTTAAGTATACTGTCAGTGGGGAGGGTGATAAAGCATGTTTCCTCTCAACATCAATCACTCACTAACGCACCAGAAATACATGTATTGGGCAAGTACCTGAAATGAAGAAATTCAACCTCCCACAGCTAATGCTTTCTTTGCAGCCTCTACAATGTCTAAAGCACAGTATTTGCCTCAAGATAGGGAGACTCGGCAAGAATATTTCCCAAGAACTGGATCACATATATGTGTTACTAACAGTTGATCCATCCTGGAAAGTTCAAAGATTTCTATCTCCTTTGATAGGATTTTCTCAAAGCACTACGCAAGACAGAACTGTCATAGGAAGGATTTGTAGTTTGACAAGCCCTTTAATAAAGATCACATACCAATATCCAATATCAACTATGAAACAAATGCACCTAATGTAAATTTTCACTGTTCACCAATCAACCTACAAATAAAACCCTGATGACAAAAATACCAGAAAAAAAAGACTCCTCAGTTACACTGAATGAGTGTCGGACTATGATAAAATTCAGAGAGCATAAGTACTGCTGGCAGTGGCTGTGCCAATAGCTGAAATCCCTAATTTCCTGGCAAAAACAAAAGAGGGGGGGAGAGGGGCATGTGTCAGCTAAAGTGTAGTAAAAATAAAAGAAAATGTAAATCTAAAGAAATGGATCCATTACCAGAATATGTATAAAGCTTTGCATTTGACAGATGTAACAAAATGAAAATCAAATTCCAGAAATACCTCAGAAGGTTTTTGATCTTCACGTCTGGAACACGAAGCCCTCTGATGTCGAGGTCTGGAATGCTGGGACGAGGTGGACCCACCTAGGATACAGAAATGATCATTTGCAGACACTGCTGCCATCTACCAATAAAAGCCTTTGCTCTCCCCTCACACCCAAGAAGGCCAATTGACTTTGGTGGGGCTGTATGAGTAAGGCAAACCTCCTAAAGACTCTTTTTCAAAACGAAACAGAAAATAAGAAGTTACTCAGTGATAAACTTCTGTGATCGCCCTTCTGCTTCTGTTTGGTTTATCATTTTCTACTGATACAGACATGTATGGGCTGCACCGCACTTCTCAGCCTTCTACCCAGCATTTAAAGAAAGCAACCTCACAACACGCTTCCCCCTGAGCATCAGTAAGCCACTTCCTGCAGATTAAAAACTGACCAGGAGGTCTGCTGCTACCCTGAGATGTACTCTTTGAAGCTGACGTATTGATGTGCTAAATACCATTATCAGTTATCCAATTTTTACGAGAGCAAGCCTTTTCAAAACGAAGCACAGTGCCATGTACACACAGTGGGCTCACAAAACAAGCTGTTGTCTCTTCTCCTGAGCAAATCTCTCAGTGTGCTTGTACAATTTTTGTCTGCATAATTATTCATTACGTTCCAAACAAATTATACCTTTTTGCCTTGAAACCTTTTGATAGAGTCTCTGACAGCTTTCAGAAATACTCTAACAAGAAAAAAGGAAAAAGGGAAAGAATCTACACTCCACTGACAAGGTAGTGCTTTGACACCAGAATATATTATACCTGTGCAAATCAACTAACTTTAATTCAAATTTACTGGTATGGCAGGTATTTTCCACTGTTGAGTACACAGCAGTAATGAAAAAAAAAACAACTCACAATAAATTCTTCTGTGTTGGAGAGACAGAGGACTTGTAGTAAGATCTACATGTTAAACTCTAAAGGACAAACACAAAATATGCAACTCAGGACATGAATTATAGACAAATAAAACAGAACTGAGCAAAGTTCTTCTGATACTGCTCTTTTCTTCGCTGCCTGTGCACATAAGATGCTAGGAGTGAAAAGTGTAAGGCTAGAGTTAGAGTCTGTAAGAGCAATATTGCCTCACATCATCCTGCAGAAACCTCTTGGCAATGAGAAAGCACCGTTCTAAATAGATCACATAGGACAGAATAAGCTCTCTATCAAAATTCATTTTCAATGTGACGTCCACGATTTTTACTGAAAAGATCTAAGTAAAAAGCTATCAGAAGAATTAACTATATTGTAGCAAAGTTTTTGTCTTATCTTTTCAGTCAGTTATACATTTAAGGAATTTGCCCCAATAAAAACCACTGTAACAGAGCAATGAACAACAGATATTATTCACAACATGCTTACTGGTCAGTTAAAGCAAGGTACACAACAAACAGCTAAAAATCTTATCTTTTGAGGTGAGAATACAGAAAACATCATCTTAAGCAATCAGTCTTTTAATATAACAACTGGTGATTTGAAATGTTTTTAAAAAGTCATGGACACTTTTCCTAAGCCCCTCTATTTTACAACAATGATTTGCTATTTCTATGAAGTTAGAAAAAAGGAAAATGAAAGGCAAAAAAGTGGCCAACTGCCATTTACTAATCTATGTGGAAAGCCAGACTCCTAAAATAATTTAACTACCATTCCATTTAAATTTTCTCTTGAAAACAAAAGAAAAACCCACAAGCGGCAGTACAAACTCCTTCTGTGGGTCCTATCAAGCTGTACCCAAACTCGGCTTAAAAAAGTCAGAGGGAAACAAGTGAAATCACTCAAAAACTGTCAGATACACAGTTAAAATTTACAAAAATAAACAGATGTTTCTCCTACACTCTAACAATACAACTAGCATTTTAACATTCAGACAGATGTGATTTCTTTAATCAACAGAGTCATGAGAAGACACAGACCACACACAGGTTAGAATTCAGTTCTCGTGGATTCGATACTTTTCATCAGTAAGACATTAATATTTGACCAACTACCTGCTACTGAGGTATTCGGCTTGCACCAGCGAGTCAGACACTTGGAAATTTCTAATTCATTTGTGGATCTGAGTGTTTTGTACACTGCTGGACCTGAGGGAAGGAGCCTGCATATAAGATAAGGAATTAAGAAGCTCTACAGGCAAAGTGCTATTTGATTCTGAAGTTTCTGTGGGAGAAGAGCTGGTGAGTCTGGAGGCTTTAATCCAGTTGTTCCTAAGTAACGCATGCATCTGGCACAAGCAGAGCAGTAGTAGCACGACTTATTTCTGGATTTGTGCTTTAATTCAGCTCTGATGACAACTAACCATGAACTCAAAACAAGTAAGCAAGGATATGGGCTTTTTTAAAAAAAAAAAAAATTAAGATGGATTTCCAGGTCTCTCTCAGGCCACAGAGAAACCACAAAGGTTAAGAGTAAAATATCCCTACCACATCTTCCACCTCCATTTCTTACTAGTACTGCATCATCTGCAGCTGCCACACAGGAAAACAGTGTCTTAAATGCATTTTAGACACAGTCCATGTGCACAAGGTTTAGGCTATTGGATTAATTAACAATTCCATGCGACATGAAAGGCCAAGTCTTAACACCAAACCTACAAAATTTTCATTTTAAATTACTTTTCTAAAGCACTGTATGAACAAACACAGACAGCTTTTCTCAGGATTTATTATAATGAGTAATTTTTCCATGCTAACTAACTTCCTACAACGAATAAGGAAACAAATAGTTTCTCACAAAGTTCTCTAATGGCTGTTTCCTTGCACATAAAATTGGCAAACGCATAGTGAAAACACATAATCTTTTTAGTAAGTTACTGAAGAGACTTGTATTTTTCTGAGCAGTATAAAGTAACTGTACATAATACTATGAGAAATAGGTGGAAGAATTTCTCATGGGATTGAGATTTTACTACCCACTAAAATCTGTAACTGTAGCTAACAGATGACCTTTGGCAAGGGCTTCACTTCAGTAGGGAAAACATTTACTCACTGAATAAACAAAACCCTACTATAAGGCAGGCATTCAGGGATTCAAACAACTACCACCACTTAAACACAAGAGTGCAAGAAATTGAAGGAGCCAGTCAAATGACAGTAAAATATCCAGCCCATAACAGTATTAAATGTAACTACTTTTGAAATCTCAAGTAAGAGTTTCCACTCGGCTTCCATTTAAGTTAATGGCAGAATATCACTGCCTGCACCAGTGCCAAGAGCCAGTCACTGAATTAGCCAAAGCTGCGATCATTAATAAACAATACACCCACTCTGAGTATACCAATAAAAGTGCAGGAGGAGGAAAATGAAGCATGTTATTCATCTTTTAAGCATCCTTTCCATATTTTCATAACTAATCCAGAAGAGGGACCTCGCTGAAAAAAAAAAAATCACAAAAAACCACAGGCAATTACAGCTACTTCAGTGACTAATGATCTGATTTTTACATCTAAACACACAAAGTAAGAACCATTCCAGGGTTATACAGAAGGAACTATCTACTACGGTCAGAACAAACACAGGATTTCAGAACAGCTCTTCTGTATTATAAAAGCATATGAGCCTGAGTTATTTAAAGAGGTTCCAGACACTTTTCACCAAAATCATCCTCTTGCACTAAGTATACAGAATGACTATACTCATTAACAGTTTTCTGAATACTAGCCTTAGTCCCAGACTGGATTAGGGTCACTAAAACTAGAAAAACAACTAAAGATTATGGCAATTACACCCAGTTTTGCTGAAATACCAAAATAAAAACAAGGGAAGTCTGAATCACTGGGATCTGAGAGATAAAACTTTTGTAGGGTAACACTGTATACCTCATGGGAGAAACGAGTTCCACACGGGATGGAAAATTAATGAGATGTTAGAGAGCCCTTACCACCAAGAGCCACGTGAATAACCATAAATGTGAAAAACACATAACTCCAGAATACAAAGCTAAGAAAACACATGTAACGGACATCTGCATCATCATTAGGCACCACAGATAAAATGTGTCTCCTTAAGCACCTATCTTGGTACAGGACTGTTCAAGTTAAGGACAGCCATAGCAGTCTGACTAGCATCACCAGTCCAGGAGATACACCAACACTGTTCTGATTCTTTTATAGTCAAAATTCTTCCAGATGAAACCTAGCTTTTCATCACCGAGAACGATGGCAGGAGGATCAGACTCTTACTACACATCTCAGTGTGGCCTTTGCCTTTACCCACTCACAAAAACCAAAGAGAAATCACAAATCACTAACAAGGTGTAACTCACAGACAATGAGGCAAGGCTCTAACACATTACTGGTGCTGGAAAGGTGACTCCTAAAACTTGAGTAGGGAAACTTTGTGTTGCAGTAAGCTATTATATACACCTTACATAGTAAATACAGTGTTTTTATAATACTGCTACAGGGTGTATGTAACACACAGGCCTCCTGATAATAAAAGAAAGTGATCCAGGAGTGTGAATTCTTTTTCTGTATTTGTAAAGAACATACACTTCCTGAAATAAAAAACATACTCAGTTTTAACTGTATCAATGTATTAAATAATCTATCAAGAATTTGTTTTGATTCCAGAAAAGCCCACCGAAACGAAAATTCCTCGGCACCAATAAAGCAATTCCAGCCCTAGAGGAATTCCACCCCACAACTAATATACTGCTCAGCACGAGCAGAAAAGTCTCAGCTATTAGGGACCACGCACAAGGCTGTTGTAAAGCCACCTGCAAGGCACCCAGCTGCGTCCCTGGAGAACTGCCTGCTGCTACAGCCACTGAACACTTCGAAGCCTCAGATCACTGCGCGCCTGAAAGCACTTCTCCCGCCATAAATACACTCCCGCTACACCATTACACCAGGCAGCACAACAGAGCAAAACATCCCCGACGCGGATGTATGTCTGGCTGTCACTTCTGCTTAACTCCGGCATTTCCAGATGCCTATCCTGCTCCTCAACTCACTCGGAGACCAACTAGGTGCTGCTGCCAACACTCTGTCAGAAAGATCTGCAGCCTGAGGAGAAAACATAGATGCTCAGTCTCCGCATTTAGTGCC